ACCAAACAATTAAACAAAATTTTTAAGTAGTAAAAACATGACTTAATACTTCTTTTGGTCCCTCAAAAGAGAGGGAATGTTCATACTCGTCTTAAAAAGTTAAAAAGTTAAAAAGGGTCCCAACTTGTGAAAAAATTGTTCAAGTTAATCCTTTTTGGTAGGGGTGGGCAAAGTGCACTGTACTGCACTACACTGTAAAAATTTATAGTTAACTATAAATCAGTTCAGAAAAACTGCACTGAACTAAAAAATAGTTCAAAATAATTGAACTGAACTATTTTCTGGTTCAATTATACTGCACTACAGTTCAATTAATTAGTTTTTAGTTTATCACACTATAGTTCAATTAACTATAGTCCATGTTCAATTAATCCATGACAACTCATCAATACTAAACTCTTCCCAAAGACATAAATCAAAAAACTGCAGAAGAAAATAAAACACGATAAAGTAAAATTTCCATAATTAATTAATATACGCCACAATAATATTAATTTGGTAGAAGCAAAAAATAATAAAATAATTCATCCACACAAACATTATGTCATCTGCGTAATGGTGTGAAGATGCTAGCATCCTTCTTCACCAATCCTCTTGAGAGAAGATGCTTCAGAACCAAAGCCCTCTGAACGAGTCCTTTCTCCAAATTGTACCTAAACAACCAAGGGTACACAATAAACACAGAACTATCCCATCGAAGCTGACCCACCCAAAACCCCGTCACTGCATCAAGTTTCTCCATGGAACAGAGCATCATTGCAGGGTGTTTCCTAAACCCATCATAAAAATGACCTAAAATGACCTAAAATGACCTAAACCACTATGATAGAAAATGACATAAATCACAGTTCACAGTTAACTGTACAGTTCACAGTTAACTGTACAGTTCACAGTTAATTGTACAGTTCATAGTTAACTATACACTAAGTTCAATATTTTTAAACTGAATTGTTAAACAGTATAATTGGTTTTTAGTACAAATAGTTTAAGTTTTTTAAGTACCAAATAGTATAGATTAACTATAGTTTACAGTTTTTTATTGAACTGTGTCCAGCCTTACTTTTTGGTTACTGTGTCAAATTTTTAACGGTGCAGCTGCCACCTGGACAAAACATAATGACGTGTCTAGTTTATGTCATTGTGTGACAGTGTGAGGTTAAATGACGTGTAAAATTTAAATTTTATAAATATTTTGAGAGGGGGTAGGGGGTAACCAAAGTTAGAAAGGATACGGACAATAGGGGGATAGTGAAGAAGGCAGGTAAGAGCTGGATTGAAATTAAAAGAAAAGTGAAGGAAGAAGGCTACGTTCTTGACACAAACTTTGTGCTACATGATGTGGAGGAGGAGCAGAAAGAGCAACATCTTGTTTACCACAGTGAGAAACTTGCCGTTGCCTTTGGAATACTTTCAACACCCCCCGGAACTCCAATCAAGGTGTTCAAAAATTTAAGAACTTGTGTAGACTGTCATACTGGCATCAAATACATATCAAAGATCGTTCAGAGAAAAATAATTGTGAGAGATTCTAATAGGTTTCATTGTTTTGAAAACGGAATATGCTCGTGTAAAGACTATTGGTAGTATTCCATATCAATAGACGTGCCAAGCATGGAGTGAATTGCTGTCTTGAATTCATGCTTCTGAATACGCAGCGTCTGACATTAGTTGCATTGTTCTAAAAGCCACAATATAAATCTCTAAATAATTTCATTGTTTTTCATCATAATTACAGTATAAATCTCTAATTAATTTCATAAATAAAATCAAGGTTTTTTCCACAATATAAAATAATTGGTCTAAAAGCCACATTAACATATCCAGACAATTTATTTTCAAGCAGATTAATTTTACGCAATCAGTTTGAATTGTGATTTCCCTTTCACAAACACAAAAAAGAGCCCCACACTTTTCTTCTTAAGCTCTTGACATGAAATAAGCAAGATTTGCAAACGTTAATCTAAACAAAATTCACGTCCACGGTTTCCCTTTAAATTGAACAAGTCTTAAACTTTTGGTAGATCTCAGACTTAAATCTTATCCCTCATTACCATTGTTCCGAATCTTAAAACTCATTCAGATTGAATATTTCAGACCGCAATGGAAAAACTCATTCAGAATATTATTCCATTAACTTTATTTATATTAATCACCTGCAATCACATTTACCCTTCTACTGTGACGTGCAGCATCAAAATCTGCCAAGTCAACCAATAACCAGTGAATTCTACTTTTTCAGCAAATTTCAAAATGCAAACCTCCTTAATGGTGGCTGAAATAATCAAACAGTATGAAAATCGTATGATAAACTAATCCTTTTTTACAGTGATTGTTTTAAAAATAATTTCTACAAGAAATTCTGATTACACCGAAATGGATAGAAAATAAACTTCAAAAAATTCTGATTACACCCAAATTTGGAACCCTAATCGCGAGTTCATCGTGAATAAAAAACTTCCAACCCTCTCGTAAAAATCACCCAACCAAGATTTGTCATCAGCACATCAAACTCTTCAAACCTGCAAGCAAACCCTTCATCGCCAATCTTCGTCACGCCATCAACATCTGTATCTTCTTCAACGTAGAGCAAAGTAGCGTCTACCCTCTATCAAAATATTTATTTTTTTAAAATTTAAAGTTTACACGTCATTTAACCTCACATTGTCATGTAATGACATAAACTAGACACGCCATTATGATTTGTCTAAAGTGGCAGCTGCACCGTTAAAAATTTGACACCATAACCAAAAAGGATTAACTTGAACAATTTTTTCACAAGTTGGGATCCTTTTTAACTTTTAAGAAAAGATAGAACGAATTTGAACATTCCTTCTCTTTTGAGGGACAAAAAAAGTATTAAACCTAAAAACATCAACATGCTAATTGAAATGACATATCAAACATAACTTATTTGAAGTTTAAATCCTCTTTCTGTCTCAGTTTTTCAAAACACACAACTTGTAAGTATAAAAAATTTAATTGTATTTCAATTCTTATACTTTCAGTGAATTGTTTCTTTTTAATTATTTTTTATTCAATATGATTTTTATATATTTAAAAAGACTCTATAATTTTTTTATATTTAAATTGTTTAGGAGATAATAAATTGTCAATATGCTTCTTTTTTGTGGTGGAGGGCTAGACATCAATGATCCTAATTTAACGTGATTCTACCCATTTTGTCTTGAAATTTAACAACAATGAAAATGTAATAATAAAAAGTTAAAAAGTGAAAATGTTGAATTCAGAGAATTTAAAAAATGATATGAATATTCCATGTACTTTTCCACATTTCTCTTTACGTTCTTAATTTTTTTAAAAATTCTATTTATTGTATTTCATAAAAGTTATACTCTATTTCTTTTCAACAAATCAACAAATTTAGAAAACAGCTAAGAAAGCTCTTTCAATAAATTTTAAAATATGTTAAATTTTCAATAATTTTTAAAATTTATTAAAAATTTTGGACAAATCTTTCAATAGATTCAAAATTTGTTGAATGATTTTTTAAACAAATTCTAAAATTCGTTGAAAGATTTTTCTTTTCAACAGATTTTGAAATCCGTTATAGAAAATCTTTTAAAAATTTCAACAAATTTTAAAAATAAATTTTTGAAATATGAGATTAAAAAAAATGAGAACCTTCCATTAAAGCTTTTGGCTTTCAAGATAATGGCTCCACATCAAAGATTTCTTCCTTCACCTCTATATTTTCTTCCTCTTCCTTACCTCATAAGTAAAATGAAAAGACAAATTTACCTTCATCTTCTTTCCTCTTCCTTCATCTCTACCCCATTTTCTTCTTCCACTTTTACCTCCACCTCTACCCCTCCTTCTTCCACTTTTACCTCCACCTCTACCCCCTCCTTCTTCCTGAGGTGTTAACTATCCACGGATATTTACTACCCACGGATAACGGATAGCGGATATTTCAATACCCACTTCTAAACGGGTCGAGTACCGGTAGTATACTACCCGTCCCGCAGATACCCGTTATCCGCAAAAAATTAAAAAAAAATAATTTATATATTTTTTAATTAAATTTAATTAAAATAAAATAAAATAATATTTTATTAGGTTAAATTTAATTAAAATTAAATTTTAATTTATATTTAATTTAATTTATATTATATTATATTTCTTTTTTGTAATTTTATTTAAATTTTATTTTAAAAATATATTAAATATTTTTTTTTGTGGGTATTCACGAATACCCACAGGTTTTAAAATACCTGCGGGTATTTTTTAAACGGATACCCGACGAGTAGCCGATCGAATAACGGATACAATTTTATATTGCAGGTTGGGTTGCGGGTAGACATTACCCGTTGTCATCCCTAGGTGTACCCTTCATTCTTCCTTCAATTCCACATAGTTCATTTTTTTTGGTTTTCTAATTATTTATTTCGTTATCCCTTTTGGAATTATTTCATTTAGTGAACACTATCAACCTTAAAAGTATCACGAATTAAACATCCTATAATATAAATTATCTATAATGTAAATTAACATTATAGAGTGTTCAACCCAAAATGTAATTTAGTTTTCGAATTGTATAATCCAATATAAATTTGTATTCAGAATAATTCAAAATACAAATTTGTATTCCGAATTGTACAATTCAAAATATAAATTTGTATTCTGAATTGTACAACTGACATGACGAGAAAGATTTTGATAAGTAATTGTACAAACAATATATTTTAGCAAACATAGATAGAACTCACGACTCATTGACAATAAAAAAAAAACATAAATGTAAAGTTCCAAAATTGGTTGTTATTCCCATTAGTATTGAGTAGCCTAATATTGAATATAAACTTTTATGTGGTATATTACTGAAGGCAATCTCCAAATTTTATGAAAATGTAATACTAAAAACATAAAGAATTTGCACATAGATTGTCTGTAAACAAATGTAACACAATAAAGTTGCATATAAAGTTGCATATATATGAGTGCTAGAAACATTTTGATAGAAATTTGCATGAATGAAAGGCTGAAATTCAAATATTTCTTCATAAAACTCTGCAATGAAATGTAGCCCCATATATTCATGATGTTGTTCTTTGAACCTTAAAGTAACCCTTGTCAAAAACTGGTGAAAACAAAATGAGGGAAGAGAGTACCTGTGGCTGTAACATATTACAGCCTACAGATAGAAGACATGTCTCAAAATGGAGGCATGTAAAACTAAAAGCAACTCCAACTGTCAGTTTTTAGTAGTTGTTGGCAAGGCTTCAAAAAACATCTTTCATGTCCTAAATTCATCCTACACAAAAGAACCAGTCTTTTAGGTTCCATTTTCCACTTCCAAAATCAATGGTGGTTCCAAATTCTAAGGAGAGAAAGACCCATTGATTCTAAAAATTGTGGCATCAAAATACGCACAAAATTGTCAATGCACATTCTCGATAAAGATTGAGAAGTGACTGACCATTCACTTGCCATTTGACCTTTTGCCAGTGGATTTTTTGGGTGATAACAAGGTGAGGTTGCGTGATTTTGGTGTTTGATGTCCAAACACTTTCCTCAATGGTGTGAACTCTGATTCATCATCATCACTATCAATGTTATCTGGAGTATGCCTGTTCTGATATGCTCTCTGCTGCAGAAGAAAGACATTGAAATAGTAGCAGACCAAATCTTCTCTGCTCTTCTTAGGAAATGTTTTAAAGAGATGATCCCAAAAACATTTATCAAGTGAAGCAGGGTTTGATTTCACCACATCTCTGAACTTCTTCTCATCCTCATCTGTCCAAGAACTACTAACTTCTTCACCTACCATGTTTAATCTCCATTGTAAAAAAGCCTCCCCCAGCTCTATCTTAACTTTAGACCTTTTCTCACCAACATGAAACCGGACACACTCAACAGAACCTTGTACTGGGCAGCCACATGAATCTTGTCTTCCTTTTCCAATAGGGTCCCTTTCAACAAGACACCATTTTGAATTTACAAATTTTGGAGGCCATATTTGGGTCCCCAACCACTTAGAATCACTTTCACAAGTTGTGCCAGTCCATTCTGGCACTTCAGCTTGATGATTTGGCCCCACAGGGATGTGCACCCGGGCATATTTATCAAGACTACAGGAGTCAAGTAACTTCTTATCGACAACATCTTCAGATCGAGAACTTGAGGTTCTCTCCAAATGTCCACGAGCTTTTGTTTTTGTTTTCGATGAAGTCGAGGAGACTCCATCGGATGTAGATTTTCCCAATAAAGACTTCTCTTCACACTTCAACCTCTTTCTAAAATTGTACAATGCCTCAACGCGATCATCGTACATGGAAGGATGCATTTTCTGACTCTACAAAATGGCATAACATTTTGGTTTTAATTTGACACCAGTGTTCTCTTTTCAATTTTCAATAGAAACATGGACACAAAACACAACACTACACTCTAAACCATCTAATGTAAAAAATATGGAACACAAAACAACATAGACCCACGCACAAGAGAGAAAGAAACTTAATGAAACTAAATTTAAGCAGCCTAGCAAAAGATTTAAATTGATTATCAATATTTGTATAATCTTGATTGAAATAAAGAGAATAATTTAACTGAAGATTTTGCAGACGATTAACATAATGCCAGCAAACGCTTTTTACCTTATAAATAAATAATTTATTACACTAAAATATAAAAATTAAAGTTTGAACTAAGCAATAAGATATCAACAATTATAAGTTCTTTCAATAACAAAGATTTAAAAAGAAGTCAAAAGATTGAATTGCTTCGAGATAAATTTAAAAGTTGAAGAATTAGAATTATGAAGTAAGATACTAATGAATACTCAGCATAAATAAGATATTGTCAAATCTAGTAAATTTGTAATAAGATAAAAATAGAAATTTTAAATTTTCTGAAGTAACTTGTTCTTCTTAATGTATGGGCAAGAAAACTATGAGACATTAATTTTGATGAAGCATAAGTGTCCGGTAAATGATATCAATATGAATTTAAATTATTCTTGTCTTATATCATAATTATCAATCACAGATAGCAAAAGGTAGTCACTAACTTTGAAAACAGTATAGTAAGATGACCGCTATTTTAAAAACTATAATACTAACTAAATAATTTATACTGCAAAAATACACATAAATACTTAAAAAATAAAACAAAAACTGAAAACTATACATATTCATGATAATAATAAGTCATAGTTTACAAACTGACCATCAATCTATAAGCAACAACAATATAGTAATGAAGTTGTAAAAAAAATATGATGGTAAAATTAATAGAAAAAGAGCACAACAAATTAGATTACAAATTAGCAGAATGTGAAATACAACAATGTGTGGAGGAAGCCTAAAGAAAAATGAAAGAATGAAAAGAACAGTCCTATAGTGAGTGAAGGAATAGATGTCAAATAGATGTAAGCTTTTGAAGTATATTTTTACCTAAAAGAAACCCCAAAATATGGATTTCTGAAGCCTAAAGTTGAGTTGTGTGTATATAGTAATTATGAAAAAACAAATACATCAGTAAATTATAGAGAAAATAATGTAGAAGAACAGCATCCATGATTACGCATATAAATATAATAATGATAATGCCAATAGCAAAAGGGCCTAAACCAGAAAATATTGACAATAGTTACCAAACAGAAAAAATACATAGAGGCATCTATTTAATTAAATAATCGGGAAATAAATTTATCAAAAAATTATAAAGATTTATTTCCTTGACGTATGGTCTCAACAAAAAACAATGGCATAGAACTCGGTACTATATTTCATAATTCATTAATGATCTGCATGACAAACAAAGAGAACATGGTAGTTTCATATTACCTGCCAACTAAGTTGTTCACTGGCTGTCTCAAAATCTTTCTTTAGAAAGACTGCTTCTCGAAACAACAAAGCCTGCTTCCAGATCTCTTGACTACTGCAAGACTTCCACTTAGACTTTTCAGGAACCGAACCAACTGCAGGATCACAAGGATTTTTAGCAATGCTGTTAATCCAAATTAGCATTTCTGACACAGACTCTCTCTTCCTCTTGTGACCAAATTTCTTTTGGTCAACACTAGATGGATCCAATATCAAGACTTCATCACTTTCGTCATCATCATCTTTATTGTTGTTTTTGCTTCCATCTGACAATCTAAGCATGTCACTTTCTGCATCGGATGCATCCACAGTTAATAATTTGCTCTCATCAAACTCTTCTGGTGTATCCATTTCAGTATTAAATCCGCAAAATTTTACTACAATAGGCTCACCCTTGTCGTGGTCCTCCAGCATGTCCAAATCAACAAGTTCCGGCCTTCTAACTTTCTTGGCCTCATTGAAATCTGGATTCACCCCGTTCACCCTATTAGTACCACACAACTTCCTCCCCTCTAGATAGTCACATACATTATCATATTCATTCCCATTAGAATTTGTATTCTTGTCTTTCACACTATTACTACCACATGACTTACTCCTATCTATATACTTATAAGCACTCTCCTGTTCAGCCCCATTGGACTCTGGTTTCACACACTTGACTCTATTACTACCACTGAGCTTCCTACCATCCGGACAGCCACAATCCCTCCTCTCATGTTCATCTCCTACCTCCTCCTCACCAGAATCGTCCAACATGGATTCAGTGTGTGCCTCCATCAAATGCTTCTGAAACTTAACTCTATCACCCTCTAAACCATATTCAGCAAACTTGCCACCAGCAACATTCTTCAAACATGTCTCTAGAGCACTTAAGTGTTTGCTGTAAACATGTTCCACATCGGAACCAACCTTCACACCCAATCCATACTCTTCCCCCACCAAATCCCACAGCCTATTCTTACAAACAGCATCATAACCACCTTTCTTCTTCACCACCATGAAAAGTTTATACAAATCCAAAGACTCCCCGTTACCCATCATTGTAGACACGGATCTGTTTCAGAAACAACCAACCAAGGAATTGATCAAAACAGCATGCACCCTTATCAGATAAACCTACAAACACATTTGCATTATCAGCTTCAACTTCAAACTAATTAAGGGGGATTTAGCTAGATCAAAGAAAACCCCATCAACAAACCACACCATCCTGCTATGGTTATCACATTCAAGTTATAAAAACAAAACAAATGATCATGTAAAGGCTTCATTTTTATTCCCCCACCGCCAACCCAAAAAAAAAAAACATAAAGAAGGAAACCTAGGTATACAAGCCTTCAAGGCTGAGAACTGAAAAAGGGTACCGAAGGAAACTACGTGCTTTCTCTATCTACATCGTCAGAGAAAGGGGGAGAGGAAGGGACAGAAAATTTTCGGAGTCCCGCGCTTTGTTTATGAAGCTAAAAGTCTATATAAATTGGAGATAGTGTTATTTTGGAAGAATGAAGGAGGGGCCAAAGTTCAAGTTTTGAACAGATGCAGACCCTCTTCTTCAAAATCCATGAGGGTTTATGAAAATCTGTAAATGAAAATAGCTTCGGAAAATTAAAATAACAAAAGGGTTTTCAGAAATTTCAGGGCAAAAATTAATTGTGAAACGGAGGATTCTTAATTTTTGATAGGAAGTAAAAATAGATAAAAATAAAGAGTTTTCATTGAAAGTGAAAAAGAAAGAAAGACAGACATACCAGTGTCTATAAAGAAAAACTTGAGAGAATGCTTCCACAACCAACCTAATGTGACCTCACTTGTGGTTTAGCACCACCAACTTGTCCCTTAATTTGCCAAATCCCAATGCTATTGCATTTTCTTTTCTTTTCTCTAAATCTCTTTTTCACTCTTTCTCTCCTTTTTTTTTTTTCAAAAAGAAAATATGTTGGAGGAAGGATATGTGGAGAGAGAAGGAGAAGAAAGAAGAATTTGGAGAGTTTTACTTTTTCATAGAATGAAGGTTTTTTATAGAGAGAAGAATCATGTAAAACTATCTTTTTATATTATTTTATTTGGTGTGGTTTCATTAACCATGGTTAATATTTAACTTAGGATAGCTTGAGTTGAATTTTAAATAGATGCATAGTGGATTGTTTTTAGAGATTAAAAAAATAAATGATAAAAGGATAAATAAATAATCAAAGTGTATCATCAAACACAAATTGGGTGCTATTCAAAGTTGTTGACTATTAATGACATTTATGATTTATTTTATTTCAAGGAAATATAAATACTAATTATTTACTACTTTCTCAAATTTGATTTACATATAAATAAGATTGTGGTATTTTTTGTAAGGAAAACAATAATATTTGGTAGTATTTAACTTAGATTTTTTTCTCAATTTATAAAAAGATAATTTCGTATTAAAAATATACAAAATTCAATACAATATTTTGATAAATTTCAAGTTACTTTTTAGTGAAATATACAAATAGTAAATGGTAAAACCATCAAGTAGTCCAATATTATCTCTATTCTTTTCATTTGAAGGAGATATAGATATTCATTTATAATGTTTTGTGATTTTTTCACCAATGATTTGATTATAATGAACTTTTAATTAAACCAATATAATAACTTCAAACTTATTGTTGAAATTCAATGGTAATAATGAGAAAATATTAACTTATAACTTATAAGCAAGGAAGAACAAAAAGTTCGAATCAATTCCATATGAAAAGGTTCAAAATTTTGTATCGGTTTATCTCTATATACAAAACTCACATTTTCTTTTTACATAAATGTTGTATTTTTTTAATGTTTTTAAATTTTAATAAAAAGTCAAAATGTATATATATAAAGTTGTTTTAAATTATTCCTATAAAAATTCAAACCATAAATTTTGTATCACAATTTTTTTTAAAATATCATATCACAACATTCCTATACATATTATAAGAATTAATTGATTAATTTGAAATTTTTAATAGGATGTTTGATCAAATCAATAAATTAATTACTAATTTATTTGATTATTTTATAAGTTAGCTTGAGAAGAAAAATATTTAATATAATTAAGAAATATATTTTTATAGTGGTTTATCAATTATTTAAGGGTTAAATATGTTTTTAGTCCCTAAACTATTGACCGTTTCTGGTTTTCGTCCCTCTTCCAAAGTAAGGTACAATTTAGTCTTCAATCTTTAAAAAACGTTTGTTTTAGTCGAAAAAACGAACGTTTTGAGGACTAAAAATAAAACGAGGACTAAAAATAAAATTTTGAGGACTAAAACGAACGTTTTTCTAAAGAATGAGGACCAAATTGTACCTTACTTTGGAAGAGGGACGAAAACCAGAAACGGCCAATAGTTTAGGGACTAAAAACATATTTAACCCATTATTTAATTTAATAAATTTATTAATTATTTAATTTAATAAATTTATTTTATTTAAAAGATTATGATAAAAGATAAAATAGTTTATTAATTATTTAATTTAAAAAATTAT